AAATCACGCGTAGGATCCCGGGTGACGGCGCAGCTAAGCGCCCAACCGTAACTGTGTTTACGGTTCGAGATGGGGCTGGTACATAAAGGGTTAACCTATTTTATATATAAATAACCAGTGAATACAATTATTTCTCCAATAGACATACATGTACGAATAGATTTCTTCTACAGCGAAAGATTCTAAGCCACACCAACTCATTGACTCGTCTCGTATGAAACAAAAGAGTCACTAGAGAGGTTCTGCAAAACGAAAATGCGTACAAACTTTCGTTCTACGTCATGAAGTGCGAAACTTCGCACGAATTTTCGCAACTTTGGACGCGAAACTTGCAGGGAACACGAAATGAACTGTCGTGGGAAATTTCGTGAGATCGGGTCATGGCGTACGTACACTTGTAGTCCACAAGCCCAGGCGAAAAAATTTGACGTTTTTGGAATCTCGTTCCATGTATGGGTGCACAAAGAAATCTCTTCAGGATCCGCGAGAAAGGGTCTCTGTGACCTCATAATCGCGAAGAGTTGATGGTTTTCCTGGGGCCAAAGCCTTGTTTGGCGAGTGTTTCGACCTTCGTTTTCGATTGTCGACATTGCTTGCAAGCTGCACTTTTATCGTTCAGAGTACGCACAGTATCTGCTCAAATTTGAATTGGCGGTCCACATGGTACTCCACGTGGCACATTTCTTCAGTCAGAGACTCAAAACAATTAGAACAGAAGTGAATGCGTTTTCGTAGCTTTCCTGTTAGATTTCCATTATGTCTTTTGATTTTAGGTTGGTAGTTAGTTAGGTATAAGTAGCACTGTGTTCATGGCCAGCTTTGACGGCGGTAGTGCTCCCAGCCGTCGCATCACCCGGCAATCAATTGATGTGCCCCTCGTAGCACCAGGTCACGCACTCTGTCTCTTTTGTGGCCAAGTGAAAAAGAAAATTCCAAACCGTTCCACCAGGCAGAACCTCTCGCAGCTACTTACGGAGGACGCTGAAGCCAAATTAAAAAGGGCTGCGTCCATCCGTAAGGACGACCGAATTATCATTGCCATCTCTGGCGGCGGCAGCCTTATTTCCAGAGAAGTTTTTTATCACAGACACTGCTATCAGGCCTACACTCGTGAGGTGTCCTTGTCACGCCTGGAGAGTGACAGCACAACCCTTGCAGTGGTTGATGAGCAGGAGGAGGAGCAGGCCCCTGGTGATGATGGTAAGGAGTGTGCTTTCTTAGCCAACATCCAACACCGACTTTTTCACCAGAATGAAGTGTTGGACATAAATCAGTTGACATCTGTTTACAACACAACAAATGCATTGACCGTTCGTAATGATTTTGTTAAGAGCTACTTAATTGATAATTATGGAACAGAGCTCACGTTTGTGAGACCTGCAGCTCGCCGCAAGTGTGAGCTTGTTTACGCCACTGTTAATGCCCCCACCTTAATCGCCCATGCCCATAGCGCAGGTGCTTTTGGCAATGTGGATAGCGATGAGGATGTCGCCATTAGTGAAGTGGTTCAGCGAACTGCACCAATGAGCAGCGGTGCGGATGTGGGTACAGTGTACCATGCTGCACGGTCACTGCGTGTCCTCTGTCAGGAGCACAACTTTGACGAGTGCACAGGGCTTTCAGTTGACGATGCAAGTGCCAGTGTACCGGACATGCTGCACAATTTCCTGGTGTGGCTTATGTCAGACAAGTATCATGCTGTTGTGCAGTCAACCAAGATCTCAGTAGAAGATCCAGCAACGTGTCGGCGTGTTCAGTCCATTGCGCAGGATGTAATGTTTGCCACTGCCTCGGCAATTCCACCCAAGCACATAGTCTTGGCATTGACCCTGCACCATCTGTTCCGGAGTGAGAAGTTGACCACAATGTTAAACCGCTTGGGTCATTGCATTGCCTACTCGCAAGTGTTGGAAAGAGAGACCAAGATGGCAGAGGACAAGCTAGTTGCCGGGCATGTTGTGGATCAGCTTCCAGACGTCATCAATCCAAGTAAGGGCTTGTGCATAGCCATGTAGTTGAATGCTGTTTATACTTCATAACCCTACACTGCTTTCGATATTGCATATCCTTGTAATGGTCAATTTGACAAACACCAATCCTGTAGCCGAAATGGCATGTCCTCTGTGCAATGTTTGTCGCCAAGTATGTGTGATAATATGATATCCCTTTATCCTACAAAAAGGTCTGTATGTGTGTGTGTCTGTGTCTGTGTCTGTGTGTATTGTGTGTGTATGTCTCTCATTCGCTCTCCCCCCCCCCCCCCTCTCTCTCTCTCTCCCTCTTGTTTCTCTCATATTCTGCAGGTACACCATTCTATCATGTTGCTGACAATAATGACTTGAACGAGGAGACAGTGGACGGGAAGGGCACCACTCACTGCACCAACACGATTGTTGTGCAGCCAATTCTGAGTAGTGAGGGTGATGGCACATGGCTGCCTGGAGCACAAGGCCATGAGCGGAACCGGAAGCGCAAAAGAGCCCTGGATATACAGCCAGAAGTATTTGCAGACATCGTTTGCGCCAAGAATGTAAACCCTGCGAGGCGGCCGGCTGTGACACAGCAGCAACTGGAAGGTGTTATGTCGGATGGTGATGCTGTGGCGCTGAACGACTTCACCTGGAGGCGTTGTCGATCCAGTCGAAGTGGAGAGCTCCTTGACCCGGTCGTTGAAGTGTTGTCTGATTTACCCGAGCAAAAAGTGCCATCATGGTCAGCATTCAACGCACTGGTGAGCCGCAAGGATGTACCACCGAAATCCAGGATTGGATATTGCCCTGTGATGAATGCTTCACCAACCGAGTCTTCAACCGTGTATGCATTGCTGACCAAGTGCCTACGAAGGTGTCAAAACTCTGATCTGAGCTTCACGTTGATTGTTTTCGACCAAGCCATTTACGCCAAGGCCGTGGACATTGTCACACAACGAGGAGAAGAGTTTGCGCCTATTGTACTGAGACTAGGTGCTTTTCATATTGCTTGCACCTTTCTGGCAATCATCGGGAAGAGGTTTCGCGATGCCGGTCTGTTGGATCTGCTTGTGGAATCTGGTGTTGCTGGAACTGCATCAGCCTCCTCTGCCCTGGATGGTCGGCAATACAACCGGGGTATGCGATTCCACAAGATTGCTTCCGAGGCATTGGAACGGTTGCGCTGGAAGGAATTTGTGGATGCCAGCAACTTGACTGAGCTTGACATACCTCTCTCCTCAGCCTTTCAAGAGTTGGAGATGTGCATCACCAGTGACAACCTGTCACGGGTTACTGCTTCTCCTGCTTTGCGGAGCCTCTACATCAAATACCAGGAATTTTGCCAACAGCAGTCCCAGCTGGTTCCAAACTTTGGACTATGGTCATCGTACATCAGCATGGTGGATCTGCTACTGCGGTTTGTCAGGGCTAGTCGCACTGGCAACTGGAAGTTGCATCTCGTCTGTGTGCGGGATATGCTTCCCTGGTGTTTTGCATATGACCGAGTGAACTATGCCCGGTTCATGTCGTTCTACTGGCTCGACATGACCCAATTGCCAACGAACCACCCAGAAGCTCATGCCTTCCTGGAGCAGGGTGGGTTCTCGGTGCAACGGTCATCCAACCCTTTTGCTCGAGTAGCGTCCGACCAAGCTATTGAACAATCGATCAATCGAGCCACAAAAACCACAGGCGGTATAATTGGGTTCAGCCGCCATCCTGCTACTGTACAGCGCTGGGTGCTCACAGCACATGACCGTGCAGCAGTCGCTGATGTTTGCTTGGAACACTGTGGCCTTGATGACAGTACTGAAGAGAGAGATACCTTTCACAAGGATTGCCAGAAGGGCAGAATGGTGCGGGATGAGAAGGATGTCCTCCAAATGATCGGTACCGTCTCCATGCTTCGCAATCCATTCATTTCATCATCCAAACAGCCATGCATGGAGTTAATCCATCTTGCATCTGGCGTTGAAGCATCCAAGGAAGCTGCCCAGGACCTTCGAACGGCTGAAGAGCGTGGCAAGGTTTGTTTTCATGAGTTCCTCCATGAACGGTTGACTGCTGGGCAATCCGCTAAGGGATTCCATGATCCACTGAAGAAGCAGAACCTGCAGACCTTCACCAAGAAGAAAGCAAAGAAGACGGCATCGACCAGCAACACCGACATCCTTCGTGCAGACAGGTCTACTTTCTCTCGAATGGCCTTGATTGCTCAAACGCGTGAAATGGATATGCGGCAGGTGATGTCATACCCACTAGGTGAATTGCCTTGGGCAATTGCCTCTACATCAGGAGCTCTCGTGAAGACAAACAAGTCTGCTTTACTTACTCTGCTCACCGATGGCATATCGACTGCACCTCCAACCAACACTGCTGCTGCTAATGGAGCCCTGATTATTGATGCTATGGCAATGATCAGGACCCAGAAGCTAAGCGAAGCGCCTGCATCATTTGGAGAGTTTGCTGCAGTAGTCCTGAAACAGCTCTGCGGCTACTTTTCTAAGTACACCCGAGTGGACTTCGTTGTGGACACGTACCGTGACATCTCCATCAAGAACTTAGAAAGGAGCTCTCGTGCAGCCGATGGAGTGTTGCGACTGCATCTGACAAACCGGTCCCAACGAATGCCTCGGCAATTTAACAAGTATCTTTCGCTGGGCACGAACCAGGAGGAGCTGATAGCCTTCTTGTTCACAGAATGGCAGCGTCCCGAGCAGATGCAGAAGATTCCTGATGGCAAGGAGCTTGTGACAACTTCCAGGCAATCATGTAGCACGGTAAGATGCGTAGATGGTGTGGGTGTCCATACTCCTGTTGCGAGCCTTAAATCGACGCATGAAGAAGCTGACACGAGGCTCCTTCTCCATGCCAGCAATGCGGCGGCAGCAGGTCACGCGAACGTGACCATCAAGTCACCGGACACCGATGTGTTAGTTCTTGCTGTATCAGTCACGAATCGCATCCCTGCTGCTCTACACTTCCTAACTGGAACTGGCAACAAGACACGGAAGATGCACGGTCAATGCCGTCAGCGAAAAGTTGGGCAGAGAGGTGTGTGATGCTCTGCCGGCATTCCATGCCTTTACCGGCTGTGACGCAGTCAGTTCCTTTGCGCACCATGGCAAGAAATCTGCCTTCAAGTTGCTGTGCTCCCCAGCCCACTCCGACTACAAGGCAATCTTCGCCCGTGTTGGTTGTAACTTTGACGGACTTCCTGGTGATGTCACTGATTCCCTGGAGACGTTTCTGTGCCTTCTCTACAATGCAAAAAGTTGCACCAAGGTCAACGATGCAAGGTATCAGTTGTTCTGCACGAAAACGTTGCAGTCGAATCAGCTTCCACCATGCCATGATGCCTTCGTCAAGCACTGCGCCAGGGCCAACTATCAGGCTGCTGTGTGGCGCCTTTGTCTTGCTGCAATACCAGACATACCTGCTCCACACGAGAATAATCAAGGTAAGAGGCTCAAGGTTACTGTTTTAGAATGTGGTGCATGGAAGCTAGGAAGAAGCATTATTAAAAAAAAACTGTGTTAACTTTTTTAATATTGCCTTGTGGATGATCAGTTCCTCTTTCGGTGCACTCCTTTTTGTACAGGCTGGTGTCTGAATAGCGATGGCAATCTTGCCGTTTCTTGGTTGAGCCTACCCCCAGCGCCCCGAGCACTCCTTGAGTTCCTCAGCTGTGGCTGCAAGACAGGCTGTAGCAGTGGGAACTGCTCATGCCGGCGCCATACTTTGAAATGCACAGATGCCTGCCAGTGTCGCCACAACTCGGCAGGAGTTGCCTGCACCAACTGCCCAACTCTGGACACGGTTCAGGAAGACGTTGCTTCATCTCTGGAAGCAGATGACACACTGCAAGCTGTGCAGTGAAACACTTCTTCGCTGGTCGCTTATATAGTCCACAAGCCCAGGCGGAAAAAATTGACGTTTTTGGAATCTCGTTCCATGTATGGGTGCACAAAGAAATCTCTTCAGGATCCGCGAGAAAGGGTCTCTGTGACCTCATAATCGCGAAGAGTTGATGGTTTTCCTGGGGCCAAAGCCTTGTTTGGCGAGTGTTTCGACCTTCGTTTTCGATTGTCGACATTGCTTGCAAGCTGCACTTTTATCGTTCAGAGTACGCACAGTATCTGCTCAAATTTGAATTGGCGGTCCACATGGTACTCCACGTGGCACATTTCTTCAGTCAGAGACTCAAAACAATTAGAACAGAAGTGAATGCGTTTTCGTAGCTTTCCTGTTAGATTTCCATTATGTCTTTTGATTTTAGGTTGGTAGTTAGTTAGGTATAAGTAGCACTGTGTTCATGGCCAGCTTTGACGGCGGTAGTGCTCCCAGCCGTCGCATCACCCGGCAATCAATTGATGTGCCCCTCGTAGCACCAGGTCACGCACTCTGTCTCTTTTGTGGCCAAGTGAAAAAGAAAATTCCAAACCGTTCCACCAGGCAGAACCTCTCGCAGCTACTTACGGAGGACGCTGAAGCCAAATTAAAAAGGGCTGCGTCCATCCGTAAGGACGACCGAATTATCATTGCCATCTCTGGCGGCGGCAGCCTTATTTCCAGAGAAGTTTTTTATCACAGACACTGCTATCAGGCCTACACTCGTGAGGTGTCCTTGTCACGCCTGGAGAGTGACAGCACAACCCTTGCAGTGGTTGATGAGCAGGAGGAGGAGCAGGCCCCTGGTGATGATGGTAAGGAGTGTGCTTTCTTAGCCAACATCCAACACCGACTTTTTCACCAGAATGAAGTGTTGGACATAAATCAGTTGACATCTGTTTACAACACAACAAATGCATTGACCGTTCGTAATGATTTTGTTAAGAGCTACTTAATTGATAATTATGGAACAGAGCTCACGTTTGTGAGACCTGCAGCTCGCCGCAAGTGTGAGCTTGTTTACGCCACTGTTAATGCCCCCACCTTAATCGCCCATGCCCATAGCGCAGGTGCTTTTGGCAATGTGGATAGCGATGAGGATGTCGCCATTAGTGAAGTGGTTCAGCGAACTGCACCAATGAGCAGCGGTGCGGATGTGGGTACAGTGTACCATGCTGCACGGTCACTGCGTGTCCTCTGTCAGGAGCACAACTTTGACGAGTGCACAGGCCTTTCAGTTGACGATGCAAGTGCCAGTGTACCGGACATGCTGCACAATTTCCTGGTGTGGCTTATGTCAGACAAGTATCATGCTGTTGTGCAGTCAACCAAGATCTCAGTAGAAGATCCAGCAACGTGTCGGCGTGTTCAGTCCATTGCGCAGGATGTAATGTTTGCCACTGCCTCGGCAATTCCACCCAAGCACATAGTCTTGGCATTGACCCTGCACCATCTGTTCCGGAGTGAGAAGTTGACCACAATGTTAACCCTTTGTGAGTCCACTGGTTTCGGAGAAAATGACCAAATTTTCCATTCCGACAATAATCCCCTGTAACTCCACAGTTTTTGAGAATTTGTAATTAGAAGTTGTGTTTTTCTGAATGGAATCGTTCGGCTGAATCCAAAAAACTATGTTAGAATGTTGCCATGGTTACCAATGTTGCCATATTAGGCACATATTGTCATAATCAAGTGTATAGCCGCGTTATTTACAGAGCGCACCATAGGAAGGAAATGAAACCATACTTTTATGTACAAATATACAGTAGACAAGATAGAAACTCACAGCACTGAGATAAGATATCCTTCACGGGAAGTGGCATGCATGGTAAGCGGCGTAGCAGTCGTGGTCGCTCGTGATGTGGAGGTGAACATCGCACGTAGGGCAGTAGGTTACACACTGGTGCTGCTTGTTACCCACTTCTGTGCAGTTTCTGCAGTTCTTCCTTTTCCTCACTCCAGGTATGTGAAGCTGAGCAACAGGAACCTGGACATCCTGCGGAACAGGCACTGGGCGATACGAGCGCTTCGGTGGCGGTGCATGCTCATCAATCGATGACAGCTGCCGGATGAGGTTACAGCGGAAATCCGAGTGCTGCAAGTTGCATCGTCGACTTATCACCCCTGGATGCTGGCTCTGCCACAAGTGAAAGAGGCGGTATGCATTGACAGCGCACACGTCGACCTTATCCAAGAAGAGACTCTTCCAGTATTTCTTCGTTTTGCGAAGCACACGGTGCGTTTCGATCAGCTGATCGAACGTGTCGACTCCACCCATGCTGCTGTTGTAGTCTCTGATGCACATTGGCCTCTGCACTTCCATTTGCTGGTGTGCACCATCAATCTTGACATTTCTTGTTACTGTGTCATGCTCATGGCCCTGATGTATGTTGCTGTACATGGACACACACCGCTTGTCCTTCCATTGCTGGTACAGGTGATCTCCGTTGCGAACATAGCGTGTTGCACCTCGCTCTGCATGTTTCTCGAACTGTTTCATGTTGGTCCGCAATACGGCTGGAAATCCAGTGCGGTTCGCGCGGACGGTGCCAACCAACGATATTTGCTTGGTACGAAGAGATGTGGCCAGGGTTTCGGAAGTGTAAAAATTGTCCGTGTAGATCACACTTCCGGCGCGCACGTCACTGACCAGCCGCATCACCACAGCATGAGTCAGGCCATTTTCACCTCCAGGTTGCTGGCCTGTGTAAACTTCAAAGTTTACAACAATGGAGCTTTGGGCGTCGCAGGCAGCGAAGACCTTGAAGCCCCATTTGACGGGCTTTTTGGGCATATACTGCGTAAAAGGAGCGCGTCCCTTGCACTTGACCATGCGCTCGTCAACACTAACGCACTTGCCAGGGATGAACAAACGCTTGCAGGCCGCCTGCAGATGGTCGTGAAGGTATCGCACCTTACGAAGTCGATCATTTATATCCTCTGCCCTGAAGTCCACAATCTTGATGAAGCACATCAGCGCAAGAGAAATGCAAGCGGTCGTAAAACTCATTACGGTCGGTCTCCTTCCACACACCATCCGTCTGGTACGTCTTTTTTTCAGCGATATGCTCGTGCGCATACAAATTTGTAAACTTGACAATTGAATCCACAACTTCGTCCGGGAAATATAGTTTGAAGAAATCAAGTTCACATGCTGGAGCGAAATTATCAGGTAGGTTCAAACCAGTGCCAGTTATGTTGAACTCAGGTGTATTGGTTTGCAGCTGGTCAAAATCATCATAGCCACTACAATTTTCGTACTGTATACCACGTCCTCGTCCTTGCCCTCTTGCAGCTCCGCGTCCTCGCCCTCTTGCAGCTCCACGTCCTCGCCCTGTCGCAGCTCAATGTCCTCGCCCTGTCGCAGCTCCACGTCCTCGCCCTCTTCCACGCGCGGGGACACCTACTGCTTGGCCTCTGCCTCGTCCAGCGCCACGTCCACGAGCAGCGACGGGAACAGGAATAGCGATATCGTCAGCCGAATCGGATCCTATTTGCTCCAAGTCGGAAAAGAGATCGTCATTCAGGCGATCTTCCTCGTCAGACGAAATAAAATCGTTGTCCGAGTCACCTACCTCGTCGCCTGAAGAGCAAGCGATATCCTCTACTGGGAGATCTGCTTGGTCCGCGTCTTGTATTAGGCGAAGAGCCTCGTCTGCATCCATCGCTGGATAAGTCCAAATTCTAATTTTGACATCAAAGGCTCTTTGAAAGCGTGCTATCAAAAAAATGTTAGTGGCGACCTACATCATGTTTAGTACCTACGTCACGGAAATTTTCTCAGCTACGCGGTGGTGAAGCCTCGGCGCGATGCGGTAAACCAGTCAAGCGCGACGATCAAAAATGTGACGCGCGTTTGAAACGAGCGAAATTGCTCGTTGAGCGCACAAAGGGTTAAACCGCTTGGGTCATTGCATTGCCTACTCGCAAGTGTTGGAAAGAGAGACCAAGATGGCAGAGGACAAGCTAGTTGCCGGGCATGTTGTGGATCAGCTTCCAGACGTCATCAATCCAAGTAAGGGCTTGTGCATAGCCATGTAGTTGAATGCTGTTTATACTTCATAACCCTACACTGCTTTCGATATTGCATATCCTTGTAATGGTCAATTTGACAAATACCAATCCTGTAGCCGAAATGGCATGTCCTCTGTGCAATGTTTGTCGCCAAGTATGTGTGATAATATGATATCCCTTTATCCTACAAAAAGGTCTGTATGTGTGTGTGTGTGTGTCTGTGTCTGTGTGTATTGTGTGTGTATGTCTCTCATTCGCTCTCCCCCCCCCCCTCTCTCTCTCTCTCCCTCTTGTTTCTCTCATATTCTGCAGGTACACCATTCTATCATGTTGCTGACAATAATGACTTGAACGAGGAGACAGTGGACGGGAAGGGCACCACTCACTGCACCAACACGATTGTTGTGCAGCCAATTCTGAGTAGTGAGGGTGATGGCACATGGCTGCCTGGAGCACAAGGCCATGAGCGGAACCGGAAGCGCAAAAGAGCCCTGGATATACAGCCAGAAGTATTTGCAGACATCGTTTGCGCCAAGAATGTAAACCCTGCGAGGCGGCCGGCTGTGACACAGCAGCAACTGGAAGGTGTTATGTCGGATGGTGATGCTGTGGCGCTGAACGACTTCACCTGGAGGCGTTGTCGATCCAGTCGAAGTGGAGAGCTCCTTGACCCGGTCGTTGAAGTGTTGTCTGATTTACCCGAGCAAAAAGTGCCATCATGGTCAGCATTCAACGCACTGGTGAGCCGCAAGGATGTACCACCGAAATCCAGGATTGGATATTGCCCTGTGATGAATGCTTCACCAACCGAGTCTTCAACCGTGTATGCATTGCTGACCAAGTGCCTACGAAGGTGTCAAAACTCTGATCTGAGCTTCACGTTGATTGTTTTCGACCAAGCCATTTACGCCAAGGCCGTGGACATTGTCACACAACGAGGAGAAGAGTTTGCGCCTATTGTACTGAGACTAGGTGCTTTTCATATTGCTTGCACCTTTCTGGCAATCATCGGGAAGAGGTTTCGCGATGCCGGTCTGTTGGATCTGCTTGTGGAATCTGGTGTTGCTGGAACTGCATCAGCCTCCTCTGCCCTGGATGGTCGGCAATACAACCGGGGTATGCGATTCCACAAGATTGCTTCCGAGGCATTGGAACGGTTGCGCTGGAAGGAATTTGTGGATGCCAGCAACTTGACTGAGCTTGACATACCTCTCTCCTCAGCCTTTCAAGAGTTGGAGATGTGCATCACCAGTGACAACCTGTCACGGGTTACTGCTTCTCCTGCTTTGCGGAGCCTCTACATCAAATACCAGGAATTTTGCCAACAGCAGTCCCAGCTGGTTCCAAACTTTGGACTATGGTCATCGTACATCAGCATGGTGGATCTGCTACTGCGGTTTGTCAGGGCTAGTCGCACTGGCAACTGGAAGTTGCATCTCGTCTGTGTGCGGGATATGCTTCCCTGGTGTTTTGCATATGACCGAGTGAACTATGCCCGGTTCATGTCGTTCTACTGGCTCGACATGACCCAATTGCCAACGAACCACCCAGAAGCTCATGCCTTCCTGGAGCAGGGTGGGTTCTCGGTGCAACGGTCATCCAACCCTTTTGCTCGAGTAGCGTCCGACCAAGCTATTGAACAATCGATCAATCGAGCCACAAAAACCACAGGCGGTATAATTGGGTTCAGCCGCCATCCTGCTACTGTACAGCGCTGGGTGCTCACAGCACATGACCGTGCAGCAGTCGCTGATGTTTGCTTGGAACACTGTGGCCTTGATGACAGTACTGAAGAGAGAGATACCTTTCACAAGGATTGCCAGAAGGGCAGAATGGTGCGGGATGAGAAGGATGTCCTCCAAATGATCGGTACCGTCTCCATGCTTCGCAATCCATTCATTTCATCATCCAAACAGCCATGCATGGAGTTAATCCATCTTGCATCTGGCGTTGAAGCATCCAAGGAAGCTGCCCAGGACCTTCGAACGGCTGAAGAGCGTGGCAAGGTTTGTTTTCATGAGTTCCTCCATGAACGGTTGACTGCTGGGCAATCCGCTAAGGGATTCCATGATCCACTGAAGAAGCAGAACCTGCAGACCTTCACCAAGAAGAAAGCAAAGAAGACGGCATCGACCAGCAACACCGACATCCTTCGTGCAGACAGGTCTACTTTCTCTCGAATGGCCTTGATTGCTCAAACGCGTGAAATGGATATGCGGCAGGTGATGTCATACCCACTAGGTGAATTGCCTTGGGCAATTGCCTCTACATCAGGAGCTCTCGTGAAGACAAACAAGTCTGCTTTACTTACTCTGCTCACCGATGGCATATCGACTGCACCTCCAACCAACACTGCTGCTGCTAATGGAGCCCTGATTATTGATGCTATGGCAATGATCAGGACCCAGAAGCTAAGCGAAGCGCCTGCATCATTTGGAGAGTTTGCTGCAGTAGTCCTGAAACAGCTCTGCGGCTACTTTTCTAAGTACACCCGAGTGGACTTCGTTGTGGACACGTACCGTGACATCTCCATCAAGAACTTAGAAAGGAGCTCTCGTGCAGCCGATGGAGTGTTGCGACTGCATCTGACAAACCGGTCCCAACGAATGCCTCGGCAATTTAACAAGTATCTTTCGCTGGGCACGAACCAGGAGGAGCTGATAGCCTTCTTGTTCACAGAATGGCAGCGTCCCGAGCAGATGCAGAAGATTCCTGATGGCAAGGAGCTTGTGACAACTTCCAGGCAATCATGTAGCACGGTAAGATGCGTAGATGGTGTGGGTGTCCATACTCCTGTTGCGAGCCTTAAATCGACGCATGAAGAAGCTGACACGAGGCTCCTTCTCCATGCCAGCAATGCGGCGGCAGCAGGTCACGCGAACGTGACCATCAAGTCACCGGACACCGATGTGTTAGTTCTTGCTGTATCAGTCACGAATCGCATCCCTGCTGCTCTACACTTCCTAACTGGAACTGGCAACAAGACACGGAAGATACCGGTCAATGCCGTCAGCGAAAAGTTGGGCAGAGAGGTGTGTGATGCTCTGCCGGCATTCCATGCCTTTACCGGCTGTGACGCAGTCAGTTCCTTTGCGCACCATGGCAAGAAATCTGCCTTCAAGTTGCTGTGCTCCCCAGCCCACTCCGACTACAAGGCAATCTTCGCCCGTGTTGGTTGTAACTTTGACGGACTTCCTGGTGATGTCACTGATTCCCTGGAGACGTTTCTGTGCCTTCTCTACAATGCAAAAAGTTGCACCAAGGTCAACGATGCAAGGTATCAGTTGTTCTGCACGAAAACGTTGCAGTCGAATCAGCTTCCTCCATGCCATGATGCCTTCGTCAAGCACTGCGCCAGGGCCAACTATCAGGCTGCTGTGTGGCGCCTTTGTCTTGCTGCAATACCAGACATACCTGCTCCACACGAGAATAATCAAGGTAAGAGGCTCAAGGTTACTGTTTTAGAATGTGGTGCATGGAAGCTAGGAAGAAGCATTATTAAAAAAAAACTGTGTTAACTTTTTTAATATTGCCTTGTGGATGATCAGTTCCTCTTTCGGTGCACTCCTTTTTGTACAGGCTGGTGTCTGAATAGCGATGGCAATCTTGCCGTTTCTTGGTTGAGCCTACCCCCAGCGCCCCGAGCACTCCTTGAGTTCCTCAGCTGTGGCTGCAAGACAGGCTGTAGCAGTGGGAACTGCTCATGCCGGCGCCATACTTTGAAATGCACAGATGCCTGCCAGTGTCGCCACAACTCGGCAGGAGTTGCCTGCACCAACTGCCCAACTCTGGACACGGTTCAGGAAGACGTTGCTTCATCTCTGGAAGCAGATGACACACTGCAAGCTGTGCAGTGAAACACTTCTTCGCTGGTCGCTTATACAATGTACTTACCGGTATAGCCATCTACCATAGCAAATGATCCGCTCTTGCTATGTACTGTTAGTCTCCTACAGAGAGGAGTAATATCTCTGGATTGATTCGATGCTGTAAATACTGTACATACATGTACATCATGCTAAGCTGGAATGTATTACTTTTCATGATTAGGATAATTCTACTACAGTCGTTCTGTGCATGCCAATTGCCAACTCGTTACTATGTTATAACTTGATGTGTGCTTTTGAGTAGTCTAGGTGGTGCTATCATGTTGAAACTTGGCACACAGATTACATTTGCTTGTATCTATTTAATGTTGAAAGAATTTTCCTTTTTAGCCATGCAGAAGTGGCTTTAATACACGATTTTGCTTGTTGTTGCCATGGCAACGCAGGAAACCATTTGTTTCCATGTTTTGGTCAACAAAGCCCCGGGTTACTGGCATAAGTGACACATCATGGGAAAGCACTCTGAATGCTCTATCTGCTCCACACATCAAATCCTTGTGCACCTCACATGGGAACGAAAAATAAATAAAACCCGGCTGGCTTGTGGACTATTGGCCCGCGCAAACTACGAAAATGTGCAGAACGCAAAGTTCGTGCAAAAATTTGTACACACTTTCGCAAGGACTGTCGCGAAACCTCGTTCGAATTTTCGTTTTGCAGAACCTCTCTACTGAACGTTTCTTTAGCAACATGACGGCAACTGAAACAGCAATAGAGAAAGTACGATACATGTACAGCACATTCTTGCAGGTACTACAAACAGA